AAAAAAGGAAAAATATCAAGTGTAAGCAGAACAAGAAAATGATGCAGGGCCTAGTTGCAAGAATGAAACATCATAAGGAAAACTTATTGGCTGAAAATGATGTACAGGCAGTCCCCGGGTTACGTACAAGATAGGGACTGTAGGTTTGTTCTTAAGTTGAATCTGTATGTAAGTCGGAACTGGCACCCAGATTCAGCCGCTGAATCTGGACACCAGTTCTGACTTACATACAGATTCAACTTAAGAACAAACCTACAGTCCCTATCTTGTACGTAACCCGGGGACTGCCTGTACATCATTTTCAGCCAATAAGTTTTCCTTATGATGTTTCATTCTTGCAACTAGGCCCTGCATCATTTTCTTGTTCTGCTTACACTTGATATTTTTCCTTTTTTACTCAAGGAATAAATTTCTTTAAAATATTCCCAGTCTCTCTCATATACCCAGGAGTCATGACAGTTTTTCTGTACCAAAAGTGTGGGGGAATATTGTGGGGGGGAAGTGTTGGTTGTGAGCTGAATAATGTCTTCCCTTTTTCTTTCCGGTCTACTCCAATGTTTCTTTCTAGGCTGCCTCCCTCCTCTCCTATATATTGTCTCCATCTTGAACTTCTTATGTTCTCTTCTATGCTTAGCCTGGTTCCCCGCTACATAAGCCCAGAACAAAAACAGCCTATCCAGCCTGTGTCGGTCTTTGCACAGGTTAATTTTTGTCTGCTGAGAAACAGAAATTGGAAGCCCAGAACATTCAAGAAGCAAGAGCTGGCAGGTAGGCTGGACAGACAAGAGCCATTAATTCATTTTCATGAGACTAAGTGTAAGTGTAGCATATTTGTGACTAGATTTAATTGTAAGTGTTATTTTTAAATGAGAAATGAAGTATTGGTTTTAAAAAAATAAAAATGTCTGACAAATAAAAACATTTTTAAAATGCATTTTATCCGCCCTGCCCAGTACCTATTCTGACTACTGCTCTGCAGCCAAGCCTTTGAACCTCTCAGATAGCTTTTCATTAGCACGTCTGCATCCCAATTCTTTGCTCTTGTAGAGCCTTGATAGATTAGTTTAAATAATTTTGCAACACATAATTCTTCGAGACCTCTCTGCCTTTGATTTGTCAAATCAATTCCCAAATTGTTTGCTGTGTTGGATGTTGCTAGGAAAAAAAAGTTAAGCATAGCTAATTCTTGTATGTTGAATTAGTTACCTAGGTTTGGAATCTCTTACTCAAGAATACAGTACTGAAAGCTGCAGTGAGAAATCTAGAGTTGCCTGTTGTCACTGAGTGTCATTTTCTTATTTTATATTACACTAGGGCAGCGGTTCCCAACTGTCAGGCTACGTGTGGATGGGCGCTGGGTTGCAAACTGCTAGCTACCAGACCGTGGTGGCTCTGGGGGGTAGGTTACACTGCCCAGTGCCTCTCCTCCTGCTGTGGCTGTTGCCCCACCTCTCAGCCAACTAGCATCAAGCATGGGTGAGGTCTCTTCCCAGCTGCAGAAAAGCGATTTGCTGAGTGGCGAGAGGGCCCCGTGGAACCCGGTACGGCAGTCGTAGAACAGTTGCGACCTAAGCAGAAGTGCTCAACTGGCGGTTGGGAGGCAGCGCAGGGCTAGGTGAAGGGGGTGAGGCAGGCACTAGGGACTCTGAGGGTGAAGCTAACACTGAGGGACTCTGGGGTGTGGGGCTAATATTGAGCACTGGGGGTGTGTTGGGTGCAGTGGGGCTCTGGATACAGGTACTGGGAAGCCTGGGGGTGGAGGCTTTATGGAGCGGAGGGCTGGCACTGAGGCATTTGGGATGAGGGGCTGGCACTGGGGGGCTCCTCACTTGCTCTTGCACCCTCCCCCCAGCCAGACACCAACCCCAAAGCTCACCCCTGCCCCCAGACCACTCTTGCTCCCTCTCCTCTGACCACACACCTACCCCCCCAGAGGGACAGTGCAGTGGTTCCTAATCTCTTAAACTGCGGAGCGGCAAACCCATTCACAAACTTTTGGTGAACCAGCAACATTTTATTTACATATTTATTATGCAAATAATGAATATGCAAATAACATTTTGCCATTCCACCAAAAGTTTGTGAATGGGTTTGCCGCTCCGCAGTTTAAGAGATTAGGAACCACTGCACTGTCCCTCTGGGGGGGTAGGTGTGTGGTCAGAGGAGAGGGAGCAAGAGTGGTCTGGGGGCAGGGGTGAGCTTTGGGGTTGGTGTCTGGCTGGGGGGAGGGTGCAAGAGCAAGTGAGTGCAGGATCAGGCAGGGATTTGGTGTCTGGTCGTGGGGAGGGGGCAGGAGCGGCTGGGGGGGGGGGGGTCTGCACTGTCCCTCTGGGGGGGTAGGTGTGTGGTCAGAGGAGAGGGAGCAAGAGTGGTCTGGGGGCAGGGGTGAGCTTTGGGGTTGGTGTCTGGCTGGGGGGAGGGTGCAAGAGCAAGTGAGTGCAGGATCAGGCAGGGATTAGGTGTCTGGTCGTGGGGAGGGGGCAGGAGCGGCTGGGGTGTGGGGTCTCAGGGGAAGGGGTGAGTAAGCTGGGGAAGGGTTGGGCTCAATGGCAGAGGGTACCTGGTGCTGCCCATAAATGAGGGGTATAGGGGAGAGCTTGGATGGCAGAGGGTACCTGGTGCAACCCAGGCGTGTGGGGGGGGGAGTGAGAAGAGAGAAAAAGAGAAGCAAGGGCGGAGCAATTCAGGCAAAAAGTTATGTTGAGCAATTCTGATTTGTATCACAACACAGGTAGAGTTGGGCTCAATGGCAGAGGGTACCTGGTGCTGCCCATAAATGAGGGGTATAGGGGAGAGCTTGGATGGCAGAGGGTACCTGGTGCAACCCAGGCGTGTGGGGGGGGGAGTGAGAAGAGAGAAAAAGAGAAGCAAGGGCGGAGCAATTCAGGCAAAAAGTTATGTTGAGCAATTCTGATTTGTATCACAACACAGGTAGACTTGCAGAATGCTTGATTTAAGTTGTTTCTATTGCTTACAGATACTTTACTACTATGGATAGCTGAGACACAGCTTCATTATTAAATATGCCTTGAGATAAATTTTAATGTCTTTAAGAAAAGGTTGTGGGAGTTGCTACTGGGAAAGAAATGCATAAGAATAATTCACTTTAAGACAGGAAACATAAGAGCACCCATACTGATTCAGAACAAGGGTCAGTCTAGCCTAGCATCCTGTCTTCTGAGAGTGGCCAGTGCCAGGTGCCACAGAGGAAATCAACAGAACAGGTAATCAACAAGTGATCCATCCACTGTCAGCCATTTCCACCTTCTGGAAAATAGAGGCTATGGATACTACTCCTGACCATCTTGCCTAATATCCATTAATGGACCTGTCCTCCATGAATTTATTTAGTTCTTTCTTTAATCCTGTTAAAGACCTGGTCTTCATATCCTCTGTCAAGGAATTCAACAGGTTGATTGTTTTGCATGAAGAACAACTTCCTTTTGTTTGTTTTAAACCAGCTCCCTATTACAGTAATTTCATTTGGTGACCTCTTGTTCTTGTGTTACGGGAACAAGTAAATAACTTTTCCTTATTTACTTTCTCCACACTAGTCAGGATTTTATAGACTTGTATCATATCCCCCCTTAGCCTTCGCTTTTCTAAGTGAAAAGTCCCCGTTTTATTAATCTCTCCTCATATGGAAATTTTCCAGTGCCATGATATCTTTCAAGATTAGGCAACACAGTATTCAAGATGTGGGCATACCATGGATTTATTTAGAGGCAATAAGATATTGTCTCTTATTTTCCATCCCTTCCTTAACCATTTCTAACATTGTGTGCTTTTTGACTCCTGCTGCACATTGAGTGGATGTTTTCAGAGAACTATCTCTGAAGTTGTAACAGCTAATTTAGTCCCCCTCTCTTTGTATGTACAATTGGGATTGTTTTCCAATGTGCATTACTTTGTATTTATCAACATTAAAATTCACCTGCCATTTTGTTGCCCAGTCACCTGGTTTTCAGTCTGCTTTGGACTTAACTATCTTGAGCAGTTTGGTATCACTGTTGACCCCTTTCTCCAGGCCATTTAGGAAAATGTTGAATAGGATTGGCCCTGGTATGGACCCCTGATGGACATAGCATCCCTCCATTTTGAAAACTGATGATAATCTATTCTTACCCTTGGTTTCCTATCTTTTAACCAGTTACCAGTCCATTAGAGGACCTTCCTGCGTATCCCATGATAGCGTACTCTCCTTAAGAGCTTTTGGTGAGGGACCTTGTCAAAGGCTTTCTGGAAATCAAAGTATACTTCCCTCCATCAAAGAAAGCAGGATGTCTTTCTTGAGTATCTAATTAAAATCTCTTGATCCTGTGTGAAAATTTAAAACTTATTTTGAAAGTCTTCAGCAAGGGCTATGGTTCTCACTGGGAGGTCCTTTGCTTTTTAATAAATAGCAATCTGCATATTTCAGTTTCCATTACAAGATTCCTCTAAACTGTAAGTGCATGCTTATGTTCATTTATGTATAAGTGCACATTTGTTGGTTCAGGGAGTTAAGTGCTAACATCTATAAAAGCTCTTCAGCTTTCTAAGCCAGATAGTTGAACAGGCAAGTGCTGCCCAACCAGTCTGTTCTGGATTTTCTTCATACCTTTTAAAAAAAAAAAAACCACCAAGCAAACAAAAACAAATATCCTTGGAAAAGAAAAAAATCCCAACAACATCTAATTAAAATAAAAATGCAGTATGTGGTATATTAAATGTGTTGCTATTTTATTTAATGTTGCTGTCTGACTATAATAATTAAATAATACCATGGTCATGAAATCTACATAGAATTATAAAATCCTAATTCCTCCCTCCTTCTTGTAACACCCTTCTAGATACTTGAAAACAGCTATCATGTCCCCCCTCATAAATTTCAAGACTGCCAATTTGACTGCTCATCAAATCTTAGCCCTTGCATTTTCTCACTTTCATCACTTTGCTGGCATATTGATATCACCTTTAACTCACTTCTTTGCAATACAATTTTTAAAAATTCTTAGTCTTCAGTGCAATAATTCCTCTTAAGTCTGATTCTTCTTCTTGCCAACAGGTACAGTTCTTATAAGAAGTAACAATGGTCAACTAATGTTAGTATCTCAACAAGCAATAGCTCGAGCACAGAGCCAGACACAAAATAATGCAGGTACAAGGCCATCAATACCTACCAGCACACCTTCAGTCAGGATTTGTACTATACAGGTAAAAAATGTTCAAACTGCTTGATTTTGCAGTAACTGTACAATATTATGTTTCTTAATGTGATGTATTTATAACTTCATATTTGCAAGCATTGTAGAAGATTCATTAAACATTAAAGAATGAATGTCACTGTATCTTACTTTCATACCAAAAAACTAGATTTTGCCAGTTTAGATTATCAGTAAACATTAGCTTCACTGTGTGTACACAAACTGACTAAAATATTTCCATCAATTATAATCTGAATTTACAGATAGGCAACGTTTAAAAAAATTCTACTTGTACTTGAGTTAGATTTAAAAATATTTATTTTGTATATTATAAAGCTTTCAATTTTGGAATCTGTCATTAACTTCCTGACCTTATTATCTGACTCGTCTACCCCATATCTTCTTGAAACTGAAAATTAAATTGATGAATGAAAAATCTTAAATATATCAATCAATTGAAATTATTAAAAAATACAAATCTGATTGCGTAAAGCCTATTGAAAGCATACCCTGGATTATAAAATTCATGTGATGAGAACTTTTGACATTAGAATTTTAATAGTCCTGAGAAGTAGTTAAAATTAATCGGGATTATCTGCACTGTTAATAGAAGACCACTTGTTTAAATATTTTTGATATTTTCAAATGTATTGATTTCATTTACAACACAGAAATAAAAAGTATACAATGCAAACTTACTTTTAATCAAAATATGACTTTCTCTGTAAAAATAATATTTTTCAGTTCGACTAATACAAGTACTATAGTGCAATCTTTCTCATGAAAATTGAACTTAAAAATGTAGAAGTATGTTTAAAAAAACTTAAATTTAAAATTTTAGATTCTGCAAGTTCCCTCAGTCCTATGTCCTGTTCAGTCAATCGCTCAGGTAGATAAGTTTGTTTGCATTTGCAGGAGATAATGCAAAAATTTAATGCATACATTTTTAAATGAGTCATCAGCATGGAAGCATGTCCTCTAGACTGTTGGACAATGCATGAAAAGGCATTCAAATGTTTATATCCAGCATGTAAATACCTTGTAATTGCGCCTACGAAAGTACCATGTGAATACCATGTCTCTTTCAGGTGACACTATAAATAGGATTACATTTATAGGAAGTAAGAGGCAAACAAAGTTGTTTCTTAATGATTGGCTGAAGAAGTAGGACCAAGTGGACTTGTCGGCTCTGAAATTTTACGTTTTTTGTTTTGAGTGCTGTTTTAAGAACTAAGCGTGTTTAGGATTAAGATAAGAAGACCGAGGATCTAAAGAGGATTGTGGTCACTAGTTCTCCATGTTCATTGAAGGTGGGACAAGAAGTAATGTGTTTAATCTGCGGCAAGGGGGGGTTTAGATTAGATATTAGGAAAACTTAAACTGTAAGACTAATTAAGCACTAGTATACGTTTTCAAGGGAGAATGTTGCACCCATGTTTTTAGAAACAGGTTAGACAAACTACTATCATTGATGGTCTAGATATACTTCAGTCTGCCTCAGTGGACGTGCTGGACTTGATGGCCCTGATTTTCTGTGATTCTATGTGTATAGCTGAAAATAGAGAATTTTAGCCTTAATGTGTGAACCATGAAGATATGGACGTACTACAATGAAAAGTAACTGGAGTATTTCTCTTGATGACACGGTCAGCATCTGATTACTCCTGAACTAAACAGTAAACATGCCTAAACTATTTTGTTTAGTGTGTTTCTGGTCTGTTTACCTTGTTATAATATAGGTAATTCAGTAGGTTTATTTACACCTGCACACTCATTCCCAAATTCATGGATTAAATTAGTGAATATTTTTAAAATTTTACCTTGGGCAAGAGTAAGTTCTAATTTAGGTAAATGTTTGCAACTGTATTGATGAACTAAAGTACTATTTTATGCTTCCTGTATCTTAGAATGTTCTGTCTTATTTTTTAAGAACACTGGCACCAATTTACTAAAAAAAGTAGTAGCGACTCCTGTGAAAACAGTATCTCAAACAACAAATTCAGTTGCATCTACTGATCGAAGACCTGCTGTAGTACAGGTATGTCTTTAGCTTTTTTCTTTAGCTAACTGTGGGTCATTCTCTAATATTTTTCCACATAAAAATGAAGATTATATAATGTTTAAAATTTTACCTGTTTGTCCAAACAGCTTAGGAAAGCCAATCATCTAGATTAGAGAAGAAGTGTGAGGAGTTCAGTGTGAGCTCGCAAGTTTGCCTCTCAACAGAAGTAAGTCCAATAGGAGAGTCCCTCATACACTTTTTCTCTCTGGGACCAACATGGCTACAATAACACTAGATGATTATAGACAAAGTGGCAGTAGCTTGTATGTACTATCTGATTTTAAAAACATTGCTATGGAATTTAAACACATTTCTATCTAGCTATTTGGATAGAAACAGTTGTCTCAGTATAGTGGTTTAATATCCACAGCAGTACTCTCAACAGTCATCTTGTTTTGAAAGAATCTCTTGTACGTCATAGCCTAAAACAGGGCTACCTGTCTCAGTTCTGAAGGAACAAAAAACCTCGAATAAACATTGAATTTAGCAAATTAATCCATTTTGTACTAAAATACTCTCTCTATCTAGGTGGCAAAGAAGCCAGCAGGGTGGGGAGGTTGGCTTGAGGGAAGTCTGACATGTTAACTCTGCTCTTTCCCATCATGAAAAGACAGTATAAATGGACTTGAGTTCAAAGTCCAGAGTAGCTAAGCAGACCCATTGGCTGTGAGTTCTAGTCTTGGCTGTCTGATAGGAAAGAGATTTCTTAGCTTACAGCCATAATTAACAGATTTGCCTTTCAAAACTGTTCTGCTGTTCGCAGATGCCCACATATATTGGCAACAAGATCTGCTTATGATATCATAAAAAGAGGCTAAGAAGGAGAGTCTTTCCCCCATAACGAAGAAGCACAGCTTAGGGGGTGGAGAGGGAGAAAAATATGGCAGTGGCTTTATTTTTAATATTGCCTATTTAATTTATACTCATTGGGGTAGAATGCACCCATCAAAAACAGAGATGGGTGTTCTGCATTGCTGTTCTTCAGTTTGATCTAATTACAAGCACTTGCAAACCTTCTCATATGCTGGTGATCTCTTTAGACAAAGATCCTCTCATGGACTTTTCTGGTCCAGATCCCACACCATGGCTGGCTACAGGAAGATAGGCTATCAGTAGGGGAAGATACATTTGTTTAATCTTAAGGGTGAAGCTTCTTATTTTGGTCTTTGCTGCCCTATCCTCCATCCCTATATTTAATTTTGTGTCTTTGTTTGGTAACAAATCTCACTTTATTTGCACACACCCTCCTCCCCTGCTGTTTTAATTTTGCCATCCTTTTGTAGTTCGTATCCCTCTTCTGTTCAGTTTGCTATTGGCATGTTTGGTCAGTTAAGGTTTTACATTTTCCATAAGAAACAGCTGACAAACATGGACACCTCACAGCCTTTTACGAAAGGGTGCTTAGAGGCTTTTGGTTTAAACCCCCAAAATTCCTGGTCACTCTGAGTCTGATTAGGCCAGAAGGATCACTGTTTGAATAATGACAGCTTCTTGTACAGAAGCAGCCTTATAAACTGCCAGTTTTCTAAAGGACTGAAATCTAAACACCACTGCGCAAAAGGGAAAAATCTTCTTGCCCTCTCTCAGAAATCCTGAATAAATGTGTAGTATAAAGTGCTCCTGCCACTGCAGGATCATTCGCCTGCGCCTGGCCATGAATCAGCCAGTGAAGCAACATCCAAGCTTGTCTTGAACTGCCTCTGACAAAGGAAAGAGGGGAGCCCAAGAGAGTTATTCTGTAACTGTCATATGAAATTGCCAATGTCAAATACCCTGCTTGCTAGCAATAGTCTTGACAACATCAGAAGACCAAAAAGAAGTAAAAACAAAGCATGGCATCATCAACAAGAAAAATTAATATGGGGATACAATGCTAAGTTAAAATAACTTACAGTAGTTCCATATAGGAATGTAAGTGACTACTCAAGTAGTCAACTACCCAGTAAGCCTAAGCCAGTGGTTCTCAAAGGGCGGTCCATGGACCACTAGTGGTCCACAGCTTGAGCTCAGCTCCTGCTTCTCCCTCATGTAATGGGAAGCCTTTGTTGCCACTGCAGCCTCGCAATTGCCATGCAACTTCAAGGCTGCAGCACCAGGTCCAGTTTACTGCTCGGAGGGTGTGCAGGGAAGTCTGAGGTGAAGAAAGCCTCGACCTTTCCCACCAGATGGGCTTGCGGAGAGGTGCAGAGTGCCACTCTTTTGTCTGTTGAAAGGTTTCTGCCAGCTCAGCAAGCGGCAGCTGCCCTGCCATCTCCTGCTACCTCACTCCAGGGGCAACCCTGAGCCAGGGGAAGCTCAAGCTCAGCTGCTGCTGGTGACCTCCTGCTGCTGCACTGAGGGGATAGGTGGCAGAAGAAAAGGAGCCCACAGGGCCGTTCCTAGCAAGCGGGTGGCGAGCACAGCTTCTCCTGCTGCCGCTGTGGTCCAGGTGGCTGCTTCGGAGCTCTCCAGCGGGGCGCTGGGAGGGGTGAGCAGGCTGCAGTGGGAGGTGTGGCCGATGGGAGTGGGTGGCCAGTTGCCCTGCCTGTGCAACTTGTTGCTCTTGTGGGCAGCTTTCTCCAGCTGACATGGTGCTGCGGAGGAGCAGTGTGGGGTCCCGGGAAATGCTGGTGCTGACTCAGGCCACCCATCTCCCTCCTGATAAAGAGAAGGCAAGTCCGTGGCTACAACACGGCAGGGCTGCCTGCCTGCTAAAAAAATGTACTAGCAAGTGCAGGGGTGTGGAATGCATGTAGTCTATAGCATTAACCTAAGCTTTTGCTTATCGGTTAATCAGTTAATCAACTACACTTTTACATCCCTACAATAAATATATTACCAACTCAATAGTCCATCCTGGCTACAGAGGTATTCTTATTCCTCTGGTGTTTCAGCTTTAATGTTCTTAAACTTTGAATCCCATGCCTCCCTCTTCTCTCACCCCAAAGTGCGCAGGCTTTCTCGTGATCCCTTCTGGGGAGAATAACATTAACTATCTAATAAGCATCATCCTGGGATACTGTGATTCCAAGAGAGCAACTGCTCTGCATACAAACCTTTTCCAAATAGGCAGGGTAAAATCCACTCTTACAAGATCTATCATTTTTGTCAACTTCTCCATTGTCCACACTAAAAATGAGTATCCTGTCAAAAGTAGTGAAGTTCAAGAGGCAGGTGATAAAATCATGTCACCTTTTTTTAGATGAAGGTAGGCTTCCTGACTCCTTCCCCTCAGTTTACAGAACACTGATCTTCTCTTGACCTATAAATTATACCAAACTCACAAGAGTAACTCTAGAACAGCAACTTCTTCTTTTCAGCCCCAAAACATAGCAACTAAACAGGTATGTACTCTGTCCCCCACCAGCCCTTTTCCAATCCATCTGTGTCTGAGATTCTCTTGCCTGGTCAACCTCCCTATGGTCATAGATCTGTTGAGCCAGTTCCTTTGAATAGACAGTGGTGGCAAAGATCCTGTAGAGAGCTGTTAAAGTGTACCAGCAACAGAAAGCTAAGCTGGCATGCTTTCTTGAAATTGCTCATCTCTTCCATATCAGATGGATCAGCTTGTGGTTATTGGCAGCTACGTGGAGACATGCCTGCTTGCAGGAAAGACATGAAAAGAGAAACTGAAAGAATGATCACATAGGTCATAAATGTTCAGGAATTTTTTTCTGATTCTGAGAAGTGACCTCTTAAAACAAAGCCAGTGTAGCTCCTCCTTACTCAACATACATAATTGATATGTATCCAGTTATGCCTGTTTACTGCATTGAAAGATGGGTTTTTAATACTTCACTCGTTTGTGCAGTGTAGAGCAGAGACAACAGATGAGGACGTTGAATTCAGCTTAAAAACTCAAAAAAAAGTTGATTACCTTAACTTTTTTTTATTCTGGAGAGATTACAAGCAATGTGACTGACTCTCTGAAGGAAGGAGGAACATATTAATTGGGGAAACAAGACTGATTTTTTTTTTTAGTTTGAATAAGATTAATTTGCAGTACATAAAGCACATAATATTAATGATTATTCTTGCAAGTTTGAGACAGATGTTTAATTTTGTGTGGGGATATGGAGTGACTTGATGACTTAAGAAAAAATACTGTTTACACTTTAGCAGTACATGGCACATGTTTGTGAAGTTGGGAAGGTATCAGTAAAACAAGTCTTCACTTTTTTTTCTTCAGACAGCAGCTGCAACTAACAGTGTTATGACAGTTACTACTGTAAAACCTCCAGGGACTGGAACACCTGTAAAGCTTCCTGTTTCAGGACCACCTGCACCATCTGTCTCCCAACAAGCAACCTCTGTCAAAGGAGAGGGCACAACAGTAGCACAGCCCAACACTTCCACAGTAAGGCAAACAAGTAGTTTAAAATATCACTGTATCTAAGCTTCTGAGGTTGAAAGTCAGTGCAGTGTGTAACTTTCCTTCACTTCCACAACCAGGAAACGCTAGAGAACGTGAAGAAATGCAAGAATTTTCTTGCAACGTTAATAAAGCTGGCATCTAGTGGGCCTCAAGCCCCAGAAATGGGACAGAATGTGAAGAATCTGGTACAGCATCTGTTGGTAAGACACTTTTTTTAAATTCAAAGTCTTCTTGTATCAGTATTTAATATTTAAGGTATTACTTTGCAAAGCGCTTTGCATAAGTTAGCTTATTCTTTTTATCTCCCTCTCCTCTGCTATCACTATTTGTTTTTTCTGTTCAAGTTAAATTCATAAACAGTGCTTAGGTTGTTAAGTGAGGCACTCTAAAACTAAGAAAACGCATGGGAAATCTGAACTCTGGCAACCTTAATTTTGCCCCTTTGTGCATATGAGTTATTCAGGCTTTAATTAGATGATCATGTGCAATTTTTTTACACAACCTTTTTGCTTCATTCACTGTACTGAACTAATCAACTGTCAAAGTATCATAAATTAGTGTGTATAACCCGCACCCAGGCATAAACTACAGTTTTTCCTGAATGTGTAAAAAGTTTTAGATAACCTGCAGACGTGTATAATCCGCGGGTTATATTCACTACTTTAAGGTAATTACATATACCTGCTACCAGTGAAGGGAATGTAAAGCGCAGTGCAGGTGAGCTGGCCAGCCTGCGGGTGGGAGCCGCACTTGTAGCCAGGCTCTGCGCAGCCACAGCCAGGCGCAACCCACCCTCAACAGAACTGAGTAGGCAGCGTAGTCAAGTAAAAAAATAAACTTGTATACCCCACAGACATGTATATCCCGTGGGGGGAGGGGGGGTTGTAAAAACATGTATAACCCACGGGTTATATAAAAAAGATGGTAATCTGACAGTGCTAGCATATGGGATTGAGGGTTAAACTCACTTGGTTTCAGATTCTCCCTGATAGAAGCCTTCATACATTTGACTTGTGGATGGATAGGTTCTTCCCTGCGTCATCTCATTCCATACTCCGTTAGTTGCATTTTCTTTTAATTTTCTCTTGTTTTCTATGACTTATTTGTAGTTGCTTACTTTCACTCTGCTCTTATGGTCCTACCTTAGAAACTAGATACCTCCATTGGTGGCACTGGAAATCTGGTTTACATTGGGGAGGTAAAATATTAAATGATCAATCAATAACCATTAGTCTTATTGTTAATATATTGCTGCTAACATTAAAGCAGATTGGTGACAGCCCCGGGATCCTAATCCCTGTGGTGTGGTGCTCTTGTAAAGTGGTTAACTGTTCAGAGATGAAATAAAGGAAACTAATACAATATTTCACTTAACTACTGTGACATCAGTGAGTATTAAAAATCATATGAATAAAACTATTTGGGAACTCTGATATTCAAGAACTTTGTAGTCTTTGGAATTCCAATAAAATGGGATGTTTTCTCTTTCCTTTTAGGTATAATTTGAAATTATTTCTATTTATGGTTGGATCAACTTCATATAAAAGGTTTTCCTTATTCTCTTTAGGAAGCAAAAATTGAACCAGAAGAATTTACAAAAAAGCTCTATGTAGAACTCAAGTCTTCTCCGCAACCATATCTGGTTCCTTTCCTTAAGGTATGTTTGTGTGGTGGCTCTCAAATTTGTAGTAGTTACACTTTAAAAAAGAAAATCTTTTGCAATATGAGTCTGAAATTATATCAATGACTAATCTATTAAGTCACATCTATAGCAAACTTAGTGAGCAGAAAATATGCCAGTGTTGTCTTTGTTAACCACTTCCTTACTAATCCCTTTCTTCTGATTGTTGCATCCCACTTCCAACATCACAGCTTGTAGCATTTGGTCCAAAATAAGAATGTTAAGGAGTAGTTGACTAGTCACTCTCCCTCCCCCCGCCTTGCTGCCTCTTATCTGATAGGCAGCAAAGAGGTTGGGGGAAGAGAGGATACTTCAAAGCGGCAGTGCCACACGGAGCCCAGGATCAGCTGGGGACTGCCCAGCTGACCCCGGGTTCCGCACGGCATTTCCACAGAATCTGGCATCAGCTGGGGGAGTCCCCCGCTGATCCCAGGCTCCATGCAGATGCTTCCGCTTTGAAATGCACAAGAGTCCCCAAAGCTGGTATGCCCACGTGCATCCCGGAGTCTGCGGGACTTTCCTCTTGCCCCAGGCTGTATGCCAAATTGCAACTTTGATATGTACAAGAGCCCCCTGTGGGGCTCTTGTACATTTCAAATGAGGAATACGGAAGTGCCTATCAACTAGTTGAGTAGTCAATGGAAATTCCATCAATTACTCGACTAGTAAATTAATCGATATTTAATATCCTTAGTCCAAAACTTATACTTTGAGGCTTGGGGTTTTTTTGTTGTAAAAAAATCTGCGATCAGTAGAGCTTTTGAAAAAAAAAAAGTTATAAAAAGTTAGTTTCTTAATATGCGGTTATAAGGCTTGAAATCCATTGCTGTGTTAAGAACCTGATAGTAAAATGAAGTCATTTCTGTTTCATTATCTGAGCAGCAAGAAATGAAAAAGAAACTGAGCACAAATAGTTGCAAATCAGACAGATGTGTAAATTCATTCACTGTTAATCTAAAGTGTTAACAGAGCGATACTTGTTTACAAAACTTTCCAAATTTGCCATCTTCTGGGGGGAGGGCCTTTGGGCTAATGCATGATAGTCTTTTTGATGAAATAGCTGTGACTTTGCTGCTCGAAGGAAGTAAGTTAATCTTACCCCTGCCTAGGGCTCCCACTATCTTACTGCTATCAGGTAGGGGACCTCTATCACAAATGATAAAAAAAGTAGTAAAAAAAGCTGCAGAACTGAACTTCAGTGAAGGACATGGGTACTCTACTGAAGAAGCTACAAAGACCAAAGTGCTCACAGATGCAGTTTTCAGGGAATGAAACAATAATAAATCTAGCCAAGAAAACTAACCGATATAAAACATGCTCCCTTCTTACAGAACTAATGTAGATCATCCCAGAGCTTATGTTTTTGCTGATACAATGCTAGAAGCTGTTCTTACTATACTTAGCACTAATTCGTGGGGAATCGTATTGCAGTTGTTCTAAAACTTAATACCCAGGCAAACATAGTGAAAGTTGTAATCCACACATTGCAGAGCTGAATAAAGTTGCACATTTAGGTATTTCTCATGGAATAATAGTAACAGTGCTATAGTTAAAAAGTGAGTACTGTCTGTCTTTAGGTTCCTTTGCTATCTATAGTTAAACTACGGGTTGGACCTCCCTGGTCCAGCACCCGCAGGATCTGTCTGGTCCTGGACGAGGGAGTTGGCCTAACCAGGGAAATTCAGGCCTCCGGGCTCTTGAGGGGTGCCAGCCTCCCCGCAGACTCCGCCAGTCTCATGGGTCCTGTTGGCAGGCTCTGCAACCTCTGCCACTGGGAGTCCAGGGGCTCTTTGGTCCGGCAACATCCATAGTCCTGCCAGACCATGGATGTTGCTGGACCACACTGTTCCGGACCAGAAAGGTTCAACCTGTATGAGCTGGAAAAAAAATTTTTTGCACAGGAATGGTCCAATCAGGGTACTACAACCAGGAAAAAAAGTCCAGGACAATTCCCTAACCTCATTCAGCCAATTTGATCTAAAGCCTGATAGTAATTTTTTTTATTAGCAGTGAATCATGTTCTCCCAAGGGATTCATTCTATTATAAGGCAAAGATCTGACTTAAGTAGTAGTCAGTGAACACCTGCACCACTCATGAAAACAATTCTCTCTGCACAGCTGTACACAGAGGCACTTGTATCCAAAGCTATTGTGTGCATGAAACTTCACAGAAATATATCTGCTCACCTAGTATAGACATAGTACAGAGCAAAGATCTCTCAGCCTAGGAGAGAACAGCAATGTGGCAGAACTGGGTTAGGCCGTGAGAGGATTGCCACTTCTGTTTCTCCAGCATATTCTACTACTATGCAAACTTCATTGGATAGTAACTTTAGTTCTTTAAACTAAGGTAATCTGTCAACTATTGAGCTAATATCTTTCAATAGTAATGCTCTGTCAGGGCTGTTTCCCACTCTGGCACTCTGAGTGCAGAAGATGGGGGCCCACAAGAGACCTTAAATACCTTGCCTCTATAGGCTCTGCTTACAAAAACTCCCCGGAGTCACAGATTCACTGACTTTGGGAGGTAAAATTTTTTTTCACTAAGTGAACCCAGGAAGAAAGCACTTGGACTTCTTCCAGAGGGGTACCCCTAGACTCCTTTGCCACAAGAGAGCTTGAAAACAGAGACAACTGCAACCTCTGGTAGCTGACCTCTTAGTCTGAGGCATGCAGTCTGAGGCAGGCATACAGACAGACCTCCTCTTTCTTTCCAGGACACACGACTCAAATCGTTGCCTTAAAAGAGGCGATTTTCTTAAAACACAGATAGACGTGATAAAGCATACTTAGTTGCTAGGTGTTACAAAGTAACTGAGTGAAATAAATTAAAACAGAACATCTCTTAGTGAATGGGGAGGGAAGGCATAGGTTTACACAGAAAAGTGTAACCAAACAACCAAAACAAAGAAAAATACCCTGATCACGACTAAATATACACTTTTCACTGTACTAATGATCCATGTCAATCTGTATTTCAAGGTCCAGTTCATTCCCACAACCAATATTTCTTATAGGCACGGTAATTCTGATTACAACATCTGCTTCTTCCAGTCTTTTACTTAGAAAACACAAAGGAAGAGCAGACCAGGTATCTGTATCCAATTCAGATTTCAGCTCTGTATCTCATTGGTTCTTCTGGCCCTTGCTAACTACCTAAGTTTAACCTTTTAGTCACTGAGTGCTGGCTAGCACTCCTCTTATCCATCACATCCTCGAACTTCTTGTCAGTAAGCTTACCGATTTCAGTCAGTGCCACTGTATAGTGCTTAATGTAAAACTTGGCATTTGTGAGCTTAAGTAATACCATTTCTTAGTCTCATTTTTTGAGCTTTTCTTATAACTTTTGCAAAGGGCATTTATGCAGAATAAGGGCTTTCTACAGTGGCTTTATAGTGTGGGGTTGCAGCTTGCCCAATTACAGTAAAATATGCAGTTACTTCATCTCTACTATTCTAGAACATTTTCCCCTCTGACTAGAACCTCAGATATGAATCACTGGGGGAATGGAGAATGTATGCAACTCTAAACAAAATATTATGGTTTTTTTAAATTTACACTGAATAGTGATGTAATGCAGCTTTGAAACTTTACTATGCAGAAGAAAAATGCTGCTTTACCTTTATTTTTTAATACTGTAGTTTACTATCAACACAGTACTGCACTGTTTCCTTTTTTTGTCTCTGTTGCTGCCTGATGGCACACTTCCAGTTCCAAATGAGGTGTATGGTTGACTGGTCAGTTTGTATCTCTGCTATTGGTAATGTTGAAGTTCTACTGTATATAAATTCTCACTTCATAGCTTATGAAATGAACATAGCATAACTGAAACGAGCACTTTAACTGCATATAGGTTGGTCTCTGATGCAAAACTTACTTGTGTGAAAGCTTGAAAAAGGTTAATTAGCTGACATGCCAACCATGACTTTGCAGCCAATATAAACCAGGCTTATGCGGATGAAATCCTGTGGATCATAACTAGTTAAACGATGATGAATAACATTTGATTTGGTGAGAAGTACTCAGTGGTCTGTAAACTGACACACAATCTAAAGCAATTCTTAACATTCATGTTCAAACACAGTAAACCTTTGTCATGGATACAAGCTGTTTCTAGTTTCTTATCCTATTTGAGGTGTTATTTTTTTTGTTACTTAAAAGCATAGATTTTTATCTAAGTTTAGACATTCTTAATGTGTAACATACAAAAATGTTTTCATTGCTAACCTTTTTTCCTCTTCAGTATAGATATAAGCAACACTGACATATAGACTAGATACTTTTTTTCTTTAATCTTCAAGAAGTCCACAGCTGGAATGCCTTTAAATCTCCTTGTAATGTAACTTTTAACTTATGTATGTTACATAGCTGAAAGTTTGGAGGGTCTTCCTTTAGCTATTAAATTTAGACTCATTGGTTTAATAATCTGACTCAGTCTGTTTACACAAATCTCTAGGTTGAATAACGTGATGATTTGAACTCAAGTTAGCTGGCCCTTCACAGGGTGTTGATGGAGCTTTACAGATATAATACAATGGAGATGCAGATATTTTGTGCTGCAAATAAACTACCACCCACTTGCCTCAATGGAAAATAAAAAGCCAGTTCTCTGCCAGCATTGTCTCTCACTTCCTCTCCCCTAAGCACCACATGTAAACATGTAACTGCTGAAAATTTCATTGGCTACTTGTTTACATAAGTAAATGTATGTTAACACCCCTACTGGAAAAACTAATGAAATGAGCCATAATTGGAACCATCCCAATAGAAGGCAAGAGGAGGGCACTAGCTGGGGTAGTCCCCCCACCACCAGAGGCTTTATCCAATCATTGGTGAGCAGGGGATGGGAGAAGGGAGCTGGTTGTTTCTTCACACTCCCATTTCGTTTATTAAAGCCCTAACCCAGGCCATGTGAAAGGCTCTTTTCTTCTATTTCTGTCCCATTCTGCTCTCCAACCCACCATCTAATTGTAGTTTCAGAGCTGCATCTTGCAGATGCTGCCAGTCTGACCAATTGCCTGTTTTGGGGATCAGGAGGGATTTTTTTTCTTCCGATTGTTGCCAAATTGGTATAGGCTTTGTGGGGTTTTTGCCTTCCTCAAAGCATATTGTAGACAGAATTAAATAGGAATATGATTTAGTAATTCATGGTAGTAGTTGGTAGGAGTGTTGGTTCATCACAACTTATGGACAACTTCCAATGCAGTTAATATACCCCTGGGGGCCCGTATCCTCTTTCTTATCTAAGATGCTGAATTGTACTGGTCCATTTTGTGGCGCCAGTTCTTACAAGCAAGTTTCAAGTTAATTTACACTTGCAAGAAAGATAACTAAATTGTGAATACTAGACATTTTTTTACTGGGAGAGAGATTCCTCCCCCCGCGGATGGATGTGTGTTCGTATCAATATGGGTTTCAGTCAAGGGCACTCCTTGGCAGCCTCTTGGTCAGCAATTGGCGTATCTCTGTTTACAGCCATTCACGGTCACACAGCCTGGGCCTTCTGCTCTGTGTGCCCTGGATGCTCCAGGCAAGCAAAAATGGATGTTACAAGGGGGGTTCCTGTCTGGCTACAGTAGTCTATGAAGAAAACTCTGTAGATCTTTTGGATCATCCTAGCCACTGAAACCTCAAACATTATAGCCAGCAAAAGGTGAAAACTAGCCATACATCTCAGTTTGTTCATATTGTCCTTTTGTTACAGCTAGAGCTTATCTATACTTAATTATCCTGTTATGTTTACAATATATTAGCAAAATTAAAGCAGCAATCTCGACTCTGTGGATGTAGTTAGTACTAGTATACTGCTGTGTATATTTCTATAGCTTTCCTCCAAACACACACGCTCTGGCTCCCTCATCTGGAAAAAGCTATGAAGTATAAGGCCCCTCTGTACAGATAGTGGCATCTACATTAGTGCTTTTGCCAGTGTAACAATGTTGGCAAAAATCAACCCTAACTAATCCAAGGAATGTCAGTAAAACTTACTCTTAGGGTGTGTCTACACAGCAGGGCGCAAAACTCAAATTAAGCTATGCAACTTCATCTATGTCAATTGCATAGCTGAAGTTGAAATAGCTTAATTTGGCTTTTGGTGCTGCCTACACAACAGAAAGTCGAAGGAAGAACACTCTTCCTTTGACTTCCTTTACTCCTCGTAAAATGGAACTTATAGGAGTCAGAGTAAGAAGTCCTCCAGCTCACCATTATTTCAAAATAATGGCTTGCAATGTAGACGTGCTCTTTGTTATTTTGGAATAACATCAGTTATTGCAAAATAACGCTGCTGTGTAGACGTACCTTTAGTGAGCAAGTCTATGCATTATGATGGGAGGGAGAACTCAAAGCAAATAAACCTAAGATGCTAAAGATATATAATCATTGAAGACAGAAAGCATATTGAAACATTAGACCTTATTATAGGGCAATAATTGTAACAAAGAATAATAATGCCCCCTGAATGCTGATTAAAGCTTAAGTGACTGCTTTACAACATTCGTTTTTTTAAAAAGGAAAAACAATTTGTAAATAGAATAGAGCAAAACCTGAAGTACTTTAACTAAATGATGAAGCTTGCTAATATGCGAACGTGGAAGCATATATTAAGAGTTGCATAATTAGGTGATCCCTTAGAAAGAGAAACTTCCACCGACTGCTCTCTTTGAAGTTCTCATTAAAAGTTTTGTGGAGATTTACTAAGAAGGCTTAACAGAATCTAATTTAGGAAATCTGAACCAAATACACCAGCCAACAACGCAGATAATGCATTATTCAGATTCAAAATTAAATGTAACTCTAAGTCAGAGTAAAGCTTTTTGTCCAATAATTTGGGAGAATAAAGAATGGTAGGGCTATTCTCTTCCAGGATGAAATTAAAATTTTAGTGGCTCCCAGAATTTTATAAACGATTAATATGTTATAAATGACATTTCATATACAAACAATATCAGAAATGGACTGGATAGGCATATTTCAATGCAGGAAGCATGAAACTACCTTAGTGAGTCACCCGTATTTAATCTTATAGATTGTCAGAGAATTTTGCTTTTGTGTGAATATAATACATTTATTTAATAGAATAAACACAATGCCAGAATTAGCTGCTTTTTTTAAACAAAGATCAAAAGAATATAATTATATTATTCTCATTGTGAAACATGGATTGCAGCCTAGTTACTAAATGAAAGGTAACTAATTAAAAGGAAACTTAATTAATTGAATATCAGATGGGGTTTATTCCATGGAGGAAAGCAGTGAATAACTTCTGACTATTGCACATTATATGCTGTAACTATAGCATTATGCATGCTGTTTTGTTTTGACAGGAGTTGTATGTAATTCTGAAAAATAACTCGTCTTCAAGATTCACTTTGAAAATCAGTTGAAAAGTAATACAGTTCTTATACTTGTGTAAGGTATTCACAGTATTCTGATCAACTGCTTTTTTTTCTCTTTTTTCCTAGAAAAGTATGCTTGCCTTACGGCAGCTAATGCCCAATGCTCAAAGTTTTATCCAGCAGTGTGTGCAGCAGCAGGCTCCAATCCAAGCAGTTGTTTCTACCTGTATCTCGACAGCCCCAACTTCCTCCACAGTAGTGACCACCTCAGCTCTGGCAACAACCTCTCTTCAGCCCGTAAAACCAGTCCTTGCTTCTGCAGTGGTCACAGGTGCTCAGACTGTCAAGCCAGTTCCTTCCACTATACGGGTGACAACAGCAGCTGCCCCCCTCCAGACTGTTAAGCCAGTGTCAGCCCCTTTTCAACCTGCAAATCCAGTCCACATGTCTGCAGTGGCCACAACCTCTCTCCAGGCTGTGAAACCTATCTTTGCATCTCCGGTAGCAACCACAACGACAACCCCTCTTCAGTCTTTGAAATCTGTCATTGGGACACCTATCAGTATTAAAATTACACAGCCCAAATCTACTGTTGCACAATCCGTCCATGCTCAACAGGCAGTTAGAGTAAAACAGCTGGTAAGATTCAACTTTCCTCTGCCTTTGTTTTCAAATCAAAAAGCACAATCTTAGATCTGAAGTTGCATAAGTGTGTAGGTAAGTGTATTCTTCCCTTGGTTAATGGGCTACTTCAGGTTTTCCCGAGACATTGTTCTATTATGCTTGATACATTTAATATATTGCCTCTAAGTATTATGGTTTGCAGCTGTTTTAGCAAGTAGGGTAGAGCGATTGTAGTGATGAAGACACCTTACTGTTGACGAACTTTATAATTCAAAAATTTGGGTGTGGAATAGTTGTACTGAACAGATTTTATTCTGAGCTTAATGTTTGTTTCAGTATCTGATCTTGCAAGGTGTGCTGAGAATGCTCCTAATGAGATTGAGGGGAAGAGTGTCTGCTCCTGACTTAATGCGATCATGGTTATTCCAGGTGACCCACTGCAAAAAAGGAAGATTTTTTTTCTATAGCAGGAATAATAAATCCCAGTGTAGCTGTAGCTGAGTGCCCTAATAGGTGTTCTGCCAATACTGTCAACTTGGTGGCAGAGCTACAAAGGAACAGCCTATGGAGATAGGACTTCATCTCTTCTAATGTGACATCTTCTGTCTTGGGCTTTCCCTAGGAATATTGATGTGTGGATTCCTGTTTACTGGGGACTGATGGGAAATCTGCAAGCTAACTCATGTAGAAATGCATAGTGGTTTTTAGAGCTAAGTGGCTAACCCGCTTAAAGACATAAGTTCACTACTTTTATATTATCAAAGAAACTCAACTAATGATCAAAGAATGACATTTAATGTGAGATTCACTGTATCTTAAGTTTCTTGTTCTGCCCTGGGTCTTGTGTGTGTTCTGTGTTTTTTTTTTTTAAGAGCAGTGTAAATGTTTGATGTAAACTATCCAGTGTGATATCATTTGTTAAAACTGGCAGTACCTTAAAGACTAACAAAACATGTAGATGGTGGTCTGAGCTTTCGTGAGCACAACCCACTTCTTCAGATGACAGGAGTGTAGAAGACCCGATCCAAGAATAAATAAGGGAAGGAGGGAAGGGGACGGAGGAGAGAATGAAAAAAGGAGGAATAAGGGTGGGGAGGAGGAAGAAAGAGACAGTGAGCAGGCTGGCACATTATCTTCCACATGTCAGTGACTTAACCATTAGCACCTTCATTGGTTGGTTGGCTGGTTTTTATCAGCCTCTTGTAACTATTTAGTCTTTAAGGTACAACTAGACTATTTGTTGTTTTTTAGTTTTTCCTGTTAGTCTAACTCTGCTACCCCTCTGAAGCTTTTGATCATTTGTTAAGTTAATATTGAGACTGTCTCCTTTTCTCAAGAATATTAACTAAGGAGAAGCCTAAGAAATGTGCATCACGGGTGCCCTGAATACAGGGGCATTTAGAGGCTAATTTAGCTAGCTGCTTAGGGTGCTCACTTGAGATACAAGAGACCTAGATTCAGTTCCTCCCTCTGCTTGATGTAGCACAGGGATTGGAGCTTCTATTCCTTCTTGGTGAATGCCCTAACCATGGGGCTGCAATGTATTTGAGGGTGTAGAGACTTTCAATATTGGCTGTTAAAGCTGCTCGGTTTCTTAAGCATTAAATATTTAATTGATTAAGGAGTTCAACTTGTGTCCCCTACTTCCCAGGTGAGTGCCTTACCCATGGTGTATTCATTCATTCATTAACTCATAATACCCATATGAGGTGACATTATCCCTCTCTTGGTAATTGAGGGTAGGCAGGGGCAGGGTCTTTAATCCCAGAGACTAAACTGTTTGCCCAACTATTTACTCATCAAGAAGTCATGTTACATCCAGCACGGACTTTGAGTTCCTGTCCATATGTAGTGCTCAGACCTCTAGATTCTGGCTATTTCCAAGATCTGGCCCTTCTTGAGAGGTGAATAGGTGAAGTTAGCCTATTGCCTTTTAACTTGGCCATTTCAATGGCTTCTACTAAGCGGCCAAGCTGTTTGAGATATGGACCTTAAACAATCCCCTGAGGAGCAGAATTTTAGGAGTCATTAAAAAAGGGATAGAGAATAAGACAGAAAATATCTTATTGCCTCTACATAAAATCATGGTATGCCCACATTTTGAATACTGCATACAGATGTGGTTGCCTCATCTCAAAAAAGATATATTGGCATTGGAAAAGGTTCAGCAAAGGGCAACAAAAACGATTAGGGGTTTGGAATGGGTCCCATATGAAAAGAGATTAAAAAGATTAGGACTTTTCATCTTAGAAAAGAGAAGACTAAGGCGGGATATGATAGAGGTCTATACAATCGTGACTGGTGTGGAAACAGTGAATAAGTAAATAACTTTTCCTAATTCCCACAATATAAGAACTAGTGGTCACCAAATGAAATTAATAGGCAGCAGGTTTAAAACAAACAAAAGGAAGTTTTTCTTTGCTCAGAGCACGGTCAACCTGTGGAACTCCTTGCCAGAGGATGCAGTGAAGACTAGAACTTTTAACAGGGTTAAAAAAGAGCTAGATAGATTCATGGAGGTTAGGTCCATCAATGGTTATTAGCCAGGATGGGTAAGAGTGATGTTCCTAGCCTCTGTCTGGAAATGGATGACAGGAGAGGGGTCATGTGAGGATTACCTGTTGTGTTCCTTCCCTCTGGGGCATCTGGGATTGGCCGCTGTCAACAGACAGGATACTGGGCTAGATGGGACCTTTGGTCTGACCCAGTTTGGCTGTTCTTATGATCCCTTAAACAATCCCCTGATGAGCAGGGCCTGGTTTTCCCTGTCCGGATAAAATGAAATTCCCCTGAAATAAAACAGTTGTGAAAAATAAACAATTTCACGGGGCTCTGTATATTGATTTTATTTCCTACTTTGCCAGCTTCTCCTCTGGCTGCCATTCTGCTGACCAGGACATGAAGGAACACAGTCCCTTGCAGGACCTTGCAGATGCTAAAAACAGGGATACAGCTTCTTAGAATGCTAATGTATATTTTCAGTCCTTCCAGCAACTGATGTTTCTGAAGCTTGTCATTAAGACTGCTTAAATGGCTAACAGGATTGTTACCCATTCTTCCTCTCCCCACAATAGCCTTTCCCCTCCTCCACCTGTTCTAGTGCCCTTGCTTCTGGTCAATTGATCCATTCTCTTCAGCTTCTTCTGCCCCATCCTGATTTGTTACATCAGCTCTTTCAGATGCAACACTATTCTTATTAACTGTGCTTTTTCTGAAAGACTTTTTTACTGCATTTTTGTCCTGCTATCCACTACTCCTTACCTGTCAGGTTGAGAGGGTTTGAGAGCCCGTTTTTTTTTTTTTGTCTTTTGTCTGAGTTTTATTGTCCACCTTGCTGCTCTGAGTGTACTCGCTGTCGCCCTGCTAGCATGGGACATTCATTCCCAGGTGCAGTGTAGACTTAACCTCTATTTTAGAGAAATCTTACTATTTGTGCTTGAATTTATTTGTTTTTTTTAATAATTTCTAATCCATGTCCTCTGCAAAGATGTATATTAGAAGCTGCAAGACAGATTCCATTGGCAAAGAAAGCTGCATTCACAGAGTAATACAACTCATTGTGTGCTTGTCAGACTTCATCAACTGCTCTGAGTGACAGGAAACAGTGGTGTATCTCTGGAAAACCATTTGTATGTGGCTTTTGAAAAGTCAAGTCTCATGTAGGTGCTGTTAATGTAGCATTGAATCATGCTAACTGGGTTTTGTTTAAGTGTATTAACAACAAAAATGCCCCTAAAGAGAACCAAAACCTAAGAATTGCTATACTGGCTTCCTTTTTAATCAATGTGATAGTTTAAATCCAAATAGTAACAAGTTCATTGAATTATATGGTATTCAAACAAATGGTTCTAATATGGCAATTTAAAATAGGCAACATATCTATGGGTGATATGTCTGTTTAACACTCCAAACAAGTTAGTGTTAACTACAAATTTTAAAGACTGGTAGCTTACTTGTCCTGTCAAGAAAAGTATATGCAAACTTTCATGAACATGATGTATTTCTTAAGGTGAAAGCTAGACATGCATGCATGCCCCCAAGCAGTTTTGGTTGAATGAGCATGTTGATAGGATTCATGTCTTGCTGTATTTTAGCTCTTTCCATGTTTGATATTGGGGATACTCTTTCCAGGTAGTCCAGCAGCCATCAGGAAGCATCGTAAAACAAGTGGCCACACTTCCACAAACAGCAACGCTGACTCTCCAGAAACCTGGTGAAAAAAGGAGTCCCTTAAATGCACTAATTCAAACTAACCAGGTTCCTGCAGGTAGGGCTGGACATCTATTTTTGGGGATGTTTGTTTTAAACAGAGAGGTGGGCAAAGGACTTCATTGTAACATTACATATTGTAGAAGAAGGCTATTGAGGGGATAAGGGGAATAATGCCAGTCAATTATGGTAAAATTATATGGATGTCTTTGGTAGCTGCTTGGAACTATGCACTCAGAGCTTTGGGAGTACTCTATGCATCATCTTTCCTGTTGAGAAAATATTTCACTAAAAGATAAGTAGTTTTTACTATTGAGTACTCAAAGTATGCCCATTCTAGTAAATTGGTGTTTCTATGAACTCTTTTGATGTTTCATCGTGCTAAGTGTACTTCTGAGTGTAGAAGTAATTTGATGTATAATTTACTAAATTTTGTGTTCCGTTTTGTCTCGGCTAGCTCATTCCCGCAGAGAGTTGTGTGACCTGTGTAGGTTAGTGATAAGATGGTGGAACACTGTTGCATTAAGGGGGATAACCTATTAGTTTGTTAGCTTTGCAAAGTATGTAAGATATAGTAATTTTGAATGTCTGCTTTCCAAATGGATATAATTGGTTTTTCAGTCTGCAAAAAAACCTATTGTTTAGAATATGTATTAAATAAACAGGCATCTCTATTTTTTTTATTTTGTATTTCATTGTGGCATGTTGATGTTTTTAGGTTCCTTTCTGAAACAAATTACACTGCCAGGAAACAAAATTCTGTCGCTTCAAGCATCTCCTGTTCAGAAAAATAAAATAAAAGAGAATGGAACAACATCCTTCAGGTAAAAAATAAACAAAGTTGGAAATTTGTGTGGCTGTAGGAAACAAGACTTCAACAAAAGGAGCAGACAGCAGTATAGATATGGGGAATGATGCCTCAGTAAATAATTTAGAGATTTCTGATGGATGTTTTCATCTCTTAATGATGGGGTAGAGGAGAAGAACCTAAAAACATTGACTTGAAAATTGAGGGGCTTGTCTTAATTGTATGGGAATTGTACTGCTAGGTCTGGGCTTTTATCAGCAGTTATTACCACTGTATGTTAATGATGCTTTTATAGTGAGGATGCATGTCAATGTTTTGCCTGATGAAATCAGCATTAAGTAGTCTATTGCACTGTTACCTTTTATTAAAAACTCTAGTGGGAGGTTAACCTAAAGACCTCTGCTCAATCCAAACAGCCAGATACCACTGAATTATAATTTGATCTGTAGTGGTAACCTCCTAATGCAGCTGGGGACTTGAATGGCATCTTTTATTACCTCCTCCTAGATATTTGCTCCTTTTAGGTAGAGGTAAAAGTCTCTGGCTAAAGCTCTGACAGTAGCGGGCAGCACAATATCTGGCCCTTTAGATCACTAGAATCCTTGAAGATTTTAGGCCCGGTAACTCATTAAATTTCAGAAATCTGTTTTCCTCTTGGAAAGTGAGCATTGGAACGGATGTGGAGACAGAAGCTGCCAAATTCAGTTCCACTTCTGACTTAAATTAGAGTTGTGCCTAGGCTTCAAGAGGGACTGCAGAGGGCTTCCTCTGATACTGTTCCTGCCTATTTGATTACTGAAAGTACAAGGTACCAGAGGGAGGCTCTGGACCCTGGCTGGTCTGAGCAGCCTCTCCACTCCCCACCCAGTGACTAGGAATCTTTTCTCTAGCCGTGCCTGCAGGGATCAGCTGTCACCAGCCTGGTGTCTGTGCAGGGAGCCCTCTGCTGTCATACCCCTGCTCCCTCCCTTCCATGACCAGTGGTCTGCAGAAGAGCCATTCAACAGTAAGGTGGCCTTCCTCATGGCTGGGACTCTCTGTTCTGTTATATGAATTGCTGTATTGGCCGAATACCTTCCTTATTCTGCATTTTGGAATTTGGGTAATATGAAGGTTTAGATAATAGGATTTCTGAAAGTTGTGAGTATATGGTATATAGCAGTGGCCCCTATTTTTACAATTGAGTGCCCTGGAAACTAGTGCATATGGCTTTCCAAAAAAAAACCAAACCCTGAACACTTTTTTTTTTGCCAAATAAAATCTCCAATTTTAATGTCAGCACTTCCCTTTTCTTTTTTTCCCTATTACTTTGTCATTCTAGGCCACTAAAGAGTTCTTGCAGAATATATATACAAATATATACAAATAGCTCTATAGATATTTTTTTACAGTATACTGACCGCATTCCGTTTACAAAAGCAATCTTCCCCAAATACTTATGTGGAAAGATGGGCCTTACCACTTACCTGAAAGGATAATACATTTTGGCCCCCTCAAACAAAGGGTGAGAGCAAGACACCGTCTCAGAACACACTGCTGACAGATGTCTCTGCATCTAGTAGTGGTCTCACTCCCACTCTAAGAGTGCTTGTGGAATTCTTGCCCACTCTTCACTTTGTATCATCTTTTCTACCAACTTTATCAGTCTCATCTGGATAGAATTTAAAGGCCATATGCTTATTCTGATTAGTAATCCAGGGTCAATATAATGTAAGGTAAGTATACCTTTCTAGCCTTCCTCTTCTCCCTTAAGTAAAATGGAGTACATAAAATATTGATAGAAATGTAGCCGTGTTAGTCTGGGGTAGTTGAAGCAAAATGCAGGACAATGTAGCACTTTAAAGACTAACAAGATGGTTTATTAAATGATGAGCTTTCGTGGGCCAGACCCACTTCCTCAGATCAAATAGTGGAAGCTGTAAAATGGAGTACATAAAATATTGAATGAGAGGAAAACAGATCTTGTCAAACACCAGAGGGTGCCAGACACTCACTTTTCATCTAACACATTCAAGTTGACACAGCGAAGTACCTCTACGTTGCATGACTTTCATTTCAATTTAATACCTGTTGTGAGAATCTCAACCTAACTTCAAGAAGAGATGAGCAAAGAAAAGGGGTATAGGTGCCTCTTTTTTTTCAGGGATTCAGCACCAGACCTCCTAGTAAGAAGTGTTCAGAGAAATTACTATGGAACAGCATTGTTGTTATACAGATGTCATGCAAGTCTCCCAGAGTAACCACTACATGGAATAACTTGAAAATACTTCAGGACGATAGCCAGAATCTAACCTCTATTGGCTATATTGTGTGCATGCCTTTAATTTTACATTGGAGTTCATTACATAATGCCGTACTTACATTCTACTCATTTATTTCATCTCAAACTAGTAACTGGTAGGATTATTCAGAGAAATTGATATTTTCAGGTTGAAATTGATTAGTAGAGCTACGGTACATGAGGAAGCATGATGTAACTTATCCACATATTCAGTTAGTCCCTTGAGCACTAAACTACAAGTTAAGAAAAAGGGTAATTTGGATTAAGTAGTATGAAGTGTTATCACAGATGCAAGTCTTTCTGTAGAACCCATCCGTGAAAGATCTCAGCCAAATTTCAGCATGAACTTCAGTTAAGTCCTCTGGTGGCTTAGTGTATATGCTGTATTTGTAGGTACATTGACTACATAACCTCCTTTACAGGCTGATCATGGAGTAGTGGTAATTATACCACAGTGGGATCACAGACTTAAACTGCAGCCAAAGATTCTGTGGTCATTAGGAAGAGGGGGTTTGGAGTGAATTTGTGAAGATCAATTAGCACTCAATTACCATGCATTCAAGGCCTAATTTGCACATTTCCTGAAAGATTAAGAATTGTATTCTGCTAATACATTATGAATACTCTCTTGAAATTGCTCAGCCACTACTGATGGGTAGAGGGAGGAAATGGTCAGTGGTGATTTTAGTTTTAAATTTCACTGGTCACTAACTGTTTTGATAATCATGGGCTTTAGTCCTTTTTTAATGCATTGAATTGGTGTAAAAGTTTCAGCCACTTAAGAATAAATTAAATGGGCTTGAGTATCTATTAGTCTTTTTCCCTAAACAAATTATGTAAAAATTGCCTAGCTATAAAAGTAAACAAATGAAAAGGGTCAGAAACTGCATTTATATTGAAGATATACAATTGAACCTCAGTTATGAACACTAGAGTTATGAGCTGACGAGTCAACTACATACTCATTTGTAATGAGAAGTACACATTTAGGCAACAACAGAGACCCCAAAAAAGCAAATACAGTACATCACTGTGTTTAAAGTAAACTACTAGTAAAAATGGAAAAATTTTAAAAAGGGTTTGACAAGGTAAGGAAACTGTTTCTGTTCTTGTTCCGTTTAAGTTCAGAGTTAAAATCAGCATTTTTCTTTTTGCATAGTCAAGTTTCAAGCTGCAGTAAGTCAATGTTTGGTGGTAAACTTTTGAAAGAACAGCCATAATGTTTTATTCAGAGTTACAAACATTTCAGAACGATGAACAACTTCCATTCATGAGTTATTTGTAACTTTTAGGTTCTACTGTAGTAGACTGTTTGCCCACTGATGCATAGGGATGATTATACATAGGTAATTTAACTGGTCACCAAAATGAAAGACTGTTTCAGGATGTGATGGAAAGAACAAGGCATAACAAAATAACAATTGGTTTCCTGTCTGGTAGAGATGAAGATGACATCAATGATGTGACTTCTATGGCTGGAGTCAACTTAAGTGAAGAAAATGCATGCATCTTGGCAACGAACTCTGAAGTAGTTGGTACGCTGATCCGATCTTGTACAGATGAAACATTTCTCTCCTCGGAGGCTTTGCAAAAGAAGATCTTAGACATAGGTGAGACCAAGCATTTGTAATTGACATTAATGCTCGCATTTAACAATTGTCAAACTTATTTTTTCTAAAAAAGACTGCACTGTAATCTCATACTGAATTCATAAATTTCTATTTAGTCTGGAAAAGAAGACAGCTATTCTTCACTTGAACTTTCCATCAGGAAATCTGTCCTAAACATTTTTGGGTGGGCCTTAAAAACAAACTCTGTAGGATAACCTAAAGAAAAAATTAGATAAAACTTAACTCCAGCAGTAGCAATGGCACTGCTTCTGTTCATTTACCTTTTAAATTATGATTATGAATTGTAATGGGTATTGAACACTATCAGTTACCCACAGGCATATTGGAACAGAATATTGGATAGGCGTCTTTCTACCGATGCAATCCCTAACATCTAACGTGGGGAAAGTATGAATTATTGTTAACCCAGTGGCAGATATCAGGCTCTGAAGTCTCACTATTTAATATGCATTTCTTACACAAGTGTTACAGATTCTTTTCATGTGATCAGAAGGAAACCCATACTAGCCAATACAAACAGATCTGTTTAGTAGGAAGGTGACCTCTTCCAACATACTCCTTTTTTTCAGTATCTTCAGGGCTCTTGATAGCTTGAAAGCTCTTTCAGGAATAGCAGTTGTGTTCGTGCATTGATGCTAAAATGACTGCGTTTCCTTCAGTCCTCTTCTTCAGACCATTTTTGCTTCAACGCCTGCAAGAATTCAGCTCACATTTTAAAAAGCTGGGTTGAGGGCAGTTGCACCAAGTCTATGCTTTAAGTATGTATTTTTACTTGTGTATTTATGAATAATATAGGGAGCATATACTAAGAATGCATATATTTAAAAACTTGATTGTGTCCCTCCTTCAACCTTGTTTGCTGCTCAGAACGGAGGCTAGGTCTAGACTACACTCTTATCAGAAAAAACTATGCAAATTGTGCTACACAATTTGTGTAGTTTTTTCTGATTGCTTTTCTAGAAGAGGCTTTTTTGCCATTTGGTCCCATCTAAATGGGGCCAAAATGGTGGAAAAGCCTCCTCTTTTGGAGGAGCCCCTATTCCTCAGAGAACATAGAGCTATACAGGGCTCCCTGAAAGAGTGCATTTGCTCTTCCACAAAAATAATTGGAAGAGCAAACTCATTCCCTGGACACAGCAGAGTTTATCCAGTATCCCGGAAAAACCCACCAGTTTAGAAGTACCCAGAGAGAGCACATTTGTACAACACTTAGCAGAATGAGGTCTTACTCCAGATTATCTCTATTGGATGCTCTTATGAACTGATGAGAGAACCATTTTTTTTAAAACAAAGTATTTCCTTGTTCGTTTTTTTTGCTGCTTAGTCTCTACCTGCTCAGGTTGTCTTAATAAAATACTAAGGTTTTACAGTAAACACTTTCAAAAAATAGCATTTGTGTAAGTGTCCATAACTCGTGTTACAGAGGTCCAATTACACGATTAGTCTCAGTTGAATTGTACTGTATTTCTATACCCTTAGTCTTTTATGTAATATCTATGTAATAGTCATCTATGTAATATCTTTACACAGAATACTTGAACGAATTAATTTGTACAAATGTTCTGTGTAAAGTATGCTTAGTGTGGAAATGCTGTTTACAGCATAAAAATCTAACTAAGTTAATAACCGAACTTTATACTTTTCTCATCCCTGAAATGTATGTCAGAAAAGCAGTGCTGATAATTGAAATGAAAAAGCATAATCTATAGGCAGTGTGAATTTAATAAGTATCTTGGAAGCAGTGCTCCTGTGGGTCAGGAAATAGATACTGGAAGGAAACTTTTTTGTTAATATTGCAAAGATCTGTCCTATTATGCAGAATGTAGACAAAGGGGTACAATAAAGGCTGAATCTGCAACCTTTGATAGTTCCTGATTTGAGTATTTAACGACACAATTTTAACATGACACATTTTATAAATGAAAGCTATCTTCTAGTTCATATTTCCCAATTTTAAATTGGGAGGTCAAGGGAAATATAGCAAGTACTGGTAACTTGACTAGTCAAAAAGTAAATAGAAAGCTAAAGAACAATTCTTTTAAGTGACTTGTAATTTCAAATATTTCAGTATGTATTTTTCACCTCTGCTTTCAGTGGACTAGCTTTCGAAAACTGTCTGATCTAAATTAATGTTGTCCCAAATAAGGTATTGTCTAAAACTGGGCTCCTAGTAATTATTAACCTATAGTCAAAATGTTCATGCAGTTTGACTTTTACTTATAACAACACCATAGGCCTTTTGTGAGAACGTAAACAAGAAGAGCCTATATTACCTTGGTGCTACCATTAAATGAAAATAAATAAAAGCATGCAAGTGATTATTTCAAAGTATATGCTATGTTGTTAGCACTTGATTTTTTTAGATAATAATAAATGACATATTGCTCTTTAAACGTACTATTTTGTATTGTAAAATGCGACATTCTTTATGTGGAGGGCAAAAAAAAGCCCTTTGTCTTAACTCGGATATCAGCATTAGCTATCGGTAGCTAAACTAAACTTTTTTTTTTTTTTTTTTTTTTTTTAAATAGAAAGCAATGGTGTCCAGGTACCTACGCACTGACATGTTCATTGAGTCAACCATAGAAATGCTTCTCTTTGGCTATCTGCAACTGTGAGAAGGTTGCAGAGGTGACACTTAGCCTCCGGTGTACAGCTCAAGCAGCTTTGCTCAAAGCTGTCTCCCTTTTTGATAGCAGCTGTTGAAATATAGAGAGAGGCAGAATGGCTCATTGGGGAACATTGGTAACCTGAAAAAAGAGTGCAGCGGTGATGGCATTATTACCCCAATTGGACTAGATACATATTTACAAAGTTACTACCTTGGGAGTCCGAGGTTAATTTGGTATATGCTGTTTGGTCAGCAGTAGATGAAAGGAGGCTCTTGTGCCTGGAGTACTCGGCAAAAAACATTATTGAAATAAATGTCATGAGTTGTTAACAAGCAGTGTCTAACAGGGCAAAATGTAATTCTCTGTTTTTTTAATTACTGAAATTAACAGAATATGGCACTAATTTCTACAGCTACTGTTTCTCCCCCTGAACATAAGGCTTGATTTGTGTTCTTATTAACTTTGTCCTATAAATGACCTTGCAAGGAGAATGATTCTAGAGGCTAAGTGAAACAATGTCTATATTTTCTGAAGCTTCAGGCTAAGTTTTATTAATGTAATGTCTAAGATCTTTGAAGTTGTGACTTTACCAGGAAAATCATAATCTCCAAACCTTTATTCGTAATGGGTATGACTTCCAGGGGGAACAGAATACCTGCTGTGCTAATTATTTCAATTATCAGCTACTACTAAAACACGTAATGGATTTTCTCTGCTTCCACAGGTAGAAGGCATGACATTATGGAACCTAACTCTGATGTTGTGAACTTGATCTCCCATGCTACACAGGAGAGATTACGAGGGCTCCTAGAAAAACTGACTGTAATTGCTCAGCATCGAATGACAACCTATAAGGTAGTGAATTTTTTCTTTTAAAGTTTGTCCTCTTCTGCAGTCTTAATAGTAAACCTGTTCTCTATATAAACACATATGTTGTATGCAGGTTTTTAAACTGACCCAAGACTATTTTTCAGGCTTCCTCCTGTTAATGGTGTCTACAGTTAATCCTGATGTTTCCCTTTTTGACATCTTAGCTATGTGTATATAAGTTAAAATATGGATTTAAAAACCCCTAGTTCAACTGTTTCATGTAAATGATATCTTTAGTTAAGTGCCATGAGAGAGGTCCTTGCATTATTGTACCACTTCCAAAAATGAAACGTTTTTCCCCATGGCCACTTGGTCTGCATTGATTTCAGAGATATTAACACTTGCTGGCTTGCCTTTGCTCGTTAGCACTTCAGTGCAGTCTTGAGAGAGTCAGACGGTTGGGGAAGGCGGCTGCTGTTACCCCATGCATCAATAGATTTAAGTTCCAAATGTAGGCCAAATTCTTCCTCTAGCTCACACATGTCATTTCTCCTCTCTGCCCCCTCACTCCCACAAGGACTCTCTGTCTCTGTGTCTCTGTCTCTCTCTGTGTGCCCTCCCCTCACTCCCGCAAGGTATGTGTCTGTGTCTCTCTCCGCCCCCTCACCCAGGGCAGTAGGCGGCTCCCCAGGACTGAGGTGGTAGGCGGGACCCAGTGCATGCCAGCTCCTGGGGAGCTGGCTGCTGCCCTGCGTGTAACCATATAACCTCTGAAATTTTCAGCAGTTACATGGTTAATAAATTACACGCCTAGCTAGTGTTGAACAGCAGTAAAAAACCAGGGTTGAATTGTCTTGCTCAACTTTTGTTACTGGTAGTGAAGCATGAGCTTGCAAGAACAGAGCTTGTCTTCCTGATTTCAACTTCTTGGAAAGGCTGGCAGTTGCTTTTAAACTGAACTCATTTCATAGGGAAGTAATTGAAAGACGACAATCATGGAACCTCCCAAGACCATTTTTAGTTGCGTTTCAGATTAAAACCACACTAAGTTGATAGGTAATGCCATAGGCATGGAAATGGAACCTTCTCCACTTAAAAAAGAAAAGAGAAGAAAAAAAGGGGGGAGTGTGTAGCCATGACAACTGCTCTAAATGTAATTACTTTTCTGATAAGGTAGTTCATGTTGTGTTTGCACCTATTATACTATTTTTAGAGGATAAAACATAATAGAGGAGTAGTAATCTTATTACACTGATTTAAAATTAATTACAATTGATGGTGGATTCCTCACATCTTTGTATTTAAATTTTAAAAAATTAGGTATTCATACTTGAACAGATTAATAGCCAGGAAATGTCCGTTTCCAAAATGGACTATTGTGCAGTAGCTTTGTCTGAATGCTCATGTTTAAAGAATGTTCTATGTAAATGTCATGTATGCATTTAAAACAAAACAAAGCGGAGGGAAGGAACTGTTAGCTCCTCCAGGATTCCCATATGGCTTAAATTTTAAAAAATTAGGTATTCATACTTGAACAGATTAATAGCCAGGAAATGTCCGTTTCCAAAATGGACTATTGTGCAGTAGCTTTGTCTGAATGCTCATGTTTAAAGAATGTTCTATGTAAATGTCATGTATGCATTTAAAACAAAACAAAGCGGAGGGAAGGAACTGTTAGCTCCTCCAGGATTCCCATATGGCTGCATTAGGGGAAGATTGCCTCTTTGCTAAACCAACTCTCTCAATCAGCACTGGCTGGAATGATCCTAAAGTAAATCTGAGTTTTCTCTGAATTTTCTACAACAGTGGCCAGTTAATATAGTGCATATGTACATAACGACAGGCCCTAAACATAATTTTCTGAAGGCTTTTCTTAGTCTTGTAGATAACTGAAGGTTATCTTGCAGTGTCAGAATCCTTGCAGTGTCAGAATCCTGCCACTTTATATGGCTGAATTGTTTATAAATGAAGCAACATGTGGGAAGGGCATAACTAGAGAAACTAATAGGAGTGTCAAGTGTCAGAGGGGTAGCCGTGTTAGTCTAAATCGGCAAAAGCGACAAGGAGTCCTGTGGCACCTTATAGACTAACTGAAGTGTAGGAGCATAAGCTTTTGTGGGCAAAGACCCACTTCGTCAGATGTATGTAGTGGAAATATCCAGAGGCAGGTATAAATATGCAGGCCAGAATTAGGCTGGAGATGACGAGGTGGATCCAATCAAGGAGGATGAGGCCCACTTCTAGTAGCTGCTCTGGAGAGCAGAAGCTGCTTTTGTAGTTAGCAAGCCATTCACAGTCTTTGTTTAATCCAGAGTTGATTGCGTCAAACTTGAAGATGAACTGTTTACGCACAGCCCAATACACACCCTGCAGGTGGGATCCACCCACACCCTCCACTGGGAACACACTCCATAATGGCAAGTCAATATAATGGTCTTGTGTTGAGATGCATTTTAGTACTTGAATTCCTGGATTGTCACTGCTCACTAAGAATGCTGTCATATTGAAATTGAGTAATAGTGCATTTTATTAATATCAGCAGAACTGACTTAAATGGGGCCTGTGTGTTGTGTAGTGTTGTCTTAATCTTTGTATTCATGCCTGTCAGTGTGAAAAGTTATTTGCATATATTTGCAACCACACTTAAGTTGTGGCCCTCAGCTAGTGCTGTGAGTATCATTGTGGCCCCAGAGCTTCCGAAGTTGAGTAGCCTTAGTCTATGAGCAACTGGGACATACTGTTCCAGACCAGAAAGATTAAATGGATTGAAATCCAATCTGAAAATAAAATACGGGACTATGTAGCACTTTAAAGACTACTAACAAGATGGTTTATTAGGTGATGAGCTTTCGTGGCCCATGAAAGCTCATCACCTAATAAACCATCTTGTTAGACTTCAAAGTGCTACATAGTCCTGTATTTTGTTTCAGCTGCGCCAGACTAACACGGCTACATTTCTATCACCAATCTGAAAATAGTCTACCAACTCCTAATGAGAAGAGTTTCTGGAAGTCAGCAAAATTTGATGTCTCTATCCCCCACAGAAGACTTGGAAATTAGAAATCTTTTTTGCACAGATGGGTGAGGCAGAAGCTGAAAGCTTGCAAAACTACTGGAGAGCTATGCCTTTGTCTTCTGCCTTCAGAGGATGCTAAAGGGCAATTTCTGAACAATTCTTAATATGGCGTACAGATTCTGAATGCCTTTGTCCTAATGAAATGGGAGCCAATATATTTTGGTCAGATCAAGAGCTGCCAGAAGCAAAGACATAAAGATTATAACATTTTCTTCAGCTGCCCCATTTCCTCGAAACAAAGGCTGTAACAATTCCCAATCATATGGATAGTCTTGAAGAAAAATGCAGGCCCTGAAAACCAGACTTCAGTAAGCACCTGTTTTTTACATTGGTAGTGTTTCTTGTAATTCTCTATAATGTTAAATAAGGAGGGGGGGGGGGGGGTTCTCCTCTTAGGGCCTGATACTTAGGGCTAGGGCAGGGCGGGGAAATTTTTTCGAGTTGGGACTGCTGACTCTCAGAAAAATCAGTTAGGGGCCGCACACAAGTGAGAAACAAACAATAAAAAACCCCAACAACCCTCACTGGAGTGGCACCTGACTGAGAAACATCTCCCCACATTCCCTTTACACGCCAGAGACTTGGGAGGCCCTGGCTAGTAGGTTTTGTGTGCACCAGCCCCAAGGAGGGGGGGGGGGAAGAGGTGGAGCTCCTTGTTGCTGCTCATTGCTGGGGGTGGGGGAGGAGCCCTGAGTGTTGGGGGCCAGACTAAGCAAGCCAGAAGCCGCATCCGGCCCCCTGGACTTTAAGTTCCACACTCCTGGGCTAGGTATTCATTTGCAACATGGGAATGCATTCCTGTTTTGCATGTGTCTGCTCACCTGGCTGGCATTCACAAATTCAGACGTGCATGTGCAAAAGAGCTAGATTTCAAATCTGCAGTAGGTTAGGAGATGCACCATGTAACTCTCCAAGGATTACATTTTGATTAAAATAACATCCATCCATACTGTACAATAGGAGTGGTAAAAATGGTTAAAGGGGGGGGGGGGGGGGAAAGCCAAAAGCAAGTAAGTTTTTCCCCTTGCTGGGTAGAGAAGTAAATACCACAGAGAGTAACATGCATAGTATTTTTGTACTAGTCTTTCTAAAGAGACAGTAAGATGTGCCACTATGAAATTCTGCATCTTGTCAGTTAGGCGCTGATGCAGCTTATTCAGTGTGACTTGAATAAAAGTAACTGATTTAAAATGTGCTACTTTATTCACGTACTCTGAGGTAAGGAAACTGATGTTGAAGCTTCCATACCTTTTAATTTTAGCTCTGTTGTGTGAATCCTTGGATAAGTTGAATTACACTGTGAAGATACAAAATTGTTTCCGCTGTTACAACTGGCAGCTAATGTAGATCAATACAGGAGGGCAAGCTAGCTAATCCTGGCAGCTATCTTCTTTGGTGTTATATGCATGCAGTTATACATCAGGTTATAGCACTAGGAAGACCACAAGAATAGAACAATAAATGAACAGTTTGAGAGAGGAGTTGATACCCCCCAAGTAAGCTTGTTGCTAGGCAGAGTGTTTATAATTTTGGTATGGACAGGTTCCTGGCCCCCTGGATCCCAATTTCTACCAGGATGGAGAATTTTCCATGGACTTCAAGCTCTGTGAAAGTAGACCTGCCTGTCCACTTTTATTCTTTCAGGGAGTCAACAAAGTAGCTCAAGGAGAGCAAGTAGCTATGTCTGCCTTTCAAAAAGTCCTTGATGGGTGCCACACAAACTTCTTGTTGAAGGCGTTCATGTACACATGATGTACAAGGTCAACTTCCATCATGGCTTAGGAACTTGCTGCAGAACAGAGAGAATAAAAGGTCAGGCTTCTTCATGAAAAGAGGTTAAGTATAAAGTATCTAAGCTTTGTCGTCTAAGAAAAGGTTTTTAGTGTATTGAATGAGATGGAAGAAGTTGTGAATAGTGAGGTGGGAAAATCCTGCAGATGAGACAATTTTGGGTGAGCCATAGCTAAAG